TATGGAAATGATAATAACATATCGACATTTGTAGGAAATGAAAAATTGAAAATTGAATCTAATGAAATTGTTAAATGCCTTACACGACAATATCAACGTGCTATGACTAGATTGATTACCTATCGATTTATTGAACAATTAATTATTTCAAATAAAGATAATAATCAATGTTTGAATATTTTATTTATGAATTTAAAAGATAATAATTTAGATTGGCATTATGTTGAAAATATTCAAGCATCAAATAATCAATTGAAAGAAGATATTGGACATCTCTATTATAAAATTATTAAAAATATATTATCAATTTCAATAGAATCTAATATGAAAACATTATGTGTATTGAATCTCATCAATTTAAACTATAATTCGATGGATTTATGTCTTTTAAATGATTTTCAATTTATTCAAGAATTATTTAATCCATTTATTAGCTTGACCAAAATAGATATGACAAATGTCGATTTAATCAATATAAAATTTACAGTATTCAATTGGTTTCGTTTAGTTGTATTAAAATTATGTGAAAATATTGAATTAGAAGAATTACGAAATATGCATCTTGGTAATCGAAAATTTCATCATATCTTACAACAACAATGTAATTTAATTTTTAATAAATTAATTTTAACTGAACTCAAACAATTACAACAAAACAAATTAACATGCGGAGATTTATCATTGAAAAATGCTTCTCTTCGTTCTTTTGTTCGATCATCGAAATTCGATGTTGATGTTTGTATCGATCGATATTTAATGCTTCTACTTCGTTGTATTCATTTATATGATCATATTCGATTGAATTATGCTACAATGGATTATATTGAACAACTGTTCAATTTATATCATACAAGTCAATCTCTCAGTACTCGCCTATTAACATTAAGGATTCTACGTGATCTATTGATATACTTATCAGAAGATACGAATAGATCTTTTATTGAAGATCTATTAACAAAAATTTTATTTTCTATTGGTCAAAATTTTAATTTATTGGAAACTGAGAAAATAGATCTTGATATTATTATTGAATTTATCTATATCTATCGTACGATTATATCACATAATTCACCATGGCAAAAGTTTGCAACGAAATTACTCGTCGATGCAATAAAATCTGGTATGAATCTCAATTTTACATCATTAGAAACGATCGAATTACAACAAATGAATTTCTTTCTTGCATCAATATGTATCTTAGGTGGTTATGTTCGTCCGTATTGTTTAGGATCAACTGTAGAAATCTATTCAACTAATACAGATATACAAGAATTACAATCTGCAATTATAATTGAAGTTAATATGGATGCTCTTGAATCGGATTCATCCGATGTTAAACCTTATCTCGTACAATATGCAGTCACGAATCAAACTGCATGGGTTTCATCGAATCAAATACGTATCATTGTTGATGTTCAACCACTAAATCTTTTATTTTTACCAATTGATAATGCAGTTCATACGATTCTTGATACATTAGGATCTCTTGCACAAACAATTGATACATCAACAATTGATTCATTAATATTATTGGATATAAAATGTCGTATCCTAAAAGCATTGTATGATGTATTGAATTATAAACAAGTTATTGAAATTTTCATGCAAAAACCTTATGCATCAATTATTTCTAAACTATCGACTTCAATGAATTATTTTGATTTAATTCGCAGTACAATACCAAATGATTTACGATTATTTAATCGATTACATTTAGAACAATACTATTTAAGTTTAGATAGATATGTAAGAAAAAATCAAATAGTCGAAAACAAATTTGATATCATTATTCATAACAAAAATAGATGGAATCAAATGAAAATTATTCATGATCCTATTATTTTACAATATCTATCTGAAACAGGTTCGATAGATCAGGATTGGAAACCAATTGCATCTAAAAGTGAGATAAAATCCTATAAAAAAGGTCGATTAGGAAATTATGATATTCAAATTATTTCTGTACCTATCAATGATAATATATCAGTTTTCGAAGAATGTGGTATCAAACATAAATTCAAAGGACGCGTTAATATAAATGACGACATTGGAAATATTCGATATCGAACTTTTATTCTTGATGGCATAGAAGTGAACGCAGGAAAATGGTATTTTTGTGTTAGACTTCCACTAGGTGGTGCAGCACTAATTGGCTGGGCAACGAAGGGATTTAATCCACCGTTACATGATAGGTGGGGTATTGGTGATGATAAATATTCATGGGGTTTCGACGGATCAAGAGGAGTTTATGACCATAGACAACGTAGTATCTTTTATTCTGAAAATTTTTGGGATGAAGAAGCTATATGTGGCTGTGGTATTGAAATTGATGGTAAAAATACGAATATTAAATATTGGTTAAATGGTAAATTTATAGGTACAGTATATTCACATTCGGAAAATCAAACAATTAAATCAGCGATTAAAACAAATTTATTACCAAATGGAATTTTTGCTACTTATTTTCCTGCTGTTAGTATTAAAGTCTATCGTAATGTGGCTAATACAGGTGTTTTTGAATTTATTTTTAGTCCAGAAGATATGACAAAATGTCCTTTACCAAAAGGATACAAATCATTATTAATGCCAAAATTATTGACAATGGAAAATGTACTAGTAGCATATCCTTCTAGTGCATATCTTATTGGTAACGACATTCAACAATATTTCTATACGAGTCGTTGTCCAAAGAATGATTTCGATGACAAGAAAACTTGTTTGCTACGTGATTTTGTTAATAATCAACATTTTGAAGTTCCATTCAATGTTGATATGGTAACATCGGATGATAATCTATTAAAACTATCTAAAGAGAATGATGGCTTTCTATTGTCACTTGATAATCATCAAGAATTAACTATTAGTTTTGATTTTGAGATTAGTACGATAGAAAATCGTCCTGATGAACTTGATGTTGTCTTATTTACGTTAGATGATGCAATATTTTCTATTCATGTCTGTATGAATGATAATTTCATCGATGAAACCAGGTTATATCGACAACATGTTGTTATTCTATTTCAAATAAACAAACAAGCAAAAGTCTATATTAATAATAAGTTTCAAACATTAAATTATTATCATAGTTTTGATCCAAAAATAAATTCAAAATTGAATCTACGACTTTTGCCATGTCTAAATGTTGGAATTCGTAATTTGGGCATATGGACATATCTATTATCGGAAGAACATATTCAACGTCTTTTTACATATGGTCTCTCGTATGTTGCTATCGATTATCAGAAATTAAA